CTCAGTCGACAGCTTGTTTCTTACAACTCCGGTGACGGATGCCCCCCCTTATTGAACTACAGTTTTGACCAGAAAGCAAGAGCTCCATTGAAGTTTGTCTCTGAAACTACAACATGATCAGGGAACAGTAAACGGTGAGAACTGACAAACCGCTCACGGCCTAACGATCAAGTGTCCCAGCACTGGCAGAACGGGTGCGGGTTCGAAACTCTGGGTTTCTTGAGGTGTATTCTGCTGATGACTCCCAACACGGATGAAGCAGCATCCAGACTTCATAGATTGGTTTCACTGGTAGGACTAAATTACTATTGAAAGTTATCCATTAAGTCTCTTCACATTACTATCGATAGTAAAGTGTCCCGTGACACAAGTGCACCAAGCAGTAGTGAACTGCCTAGATTTCTATTCAAAGTTAGGGAACATACGACTCAGTTCATCCCCTTTATTCCTCCGTACATTTGGTTAGTGAAAGCAAGAACCTTGTTCTCTGGATCCAGGCAGTTCATTTGAAGTCAAATGAACTTGTATATCCTTGTAACGTTCTACTCATAAGGTTGCTGAAAATCTGTCGACAGCCCACGACCGGTTTCGCCCCTTTTTGGGACTCATCAGGTAGGCACAGTCCCCGGGTTCCTGTCAACCTTACGTTCTTCTTGAAACCAAATTTAACGAAGTTAGGGAATATACACTCATTTGCAAACTAATTTGGTTTTACGAGAGACTTATCTGAACTTGTACAAAAAGTATGCTTGCCCTTCTGCCCAATATCGAAGAGTCGCAGTTATCACACAAACTTTCAACTCAAGGTAACAACCATCTGTATTTGCAAGCGAATTCCGTCCACTCATTTATTGAAGTGAAGTGTCGGAGCACGTATACTTGGGTTTATAAGATTTTCCAAATGCCTGTCTGTTACGATCCCGAATACCTCAGTGAAGGGCCCCAGTGCAACTCATCTTGTTCCAGAACTCTATAAATAGCATGCTGTTCTGTATTCGCTCGACTTGGCTATCTCTTGCATGATTAGATACTCGTGTCCGGACCGGATCCTTCACTGTGTTCCTATTCTACTGAATGCAGGTTGACTTTCACGACCAACTTCCTAAATTCCGTGCATTAAATTAAAGGATGGCGGCGCGTGTTCACTTTGGTGGACGACGAGCAGAGTCCGCTTTAACAACGAAGCTATAATAAGTACAAGACAAGGTTGTCTGTGCTCAAATACCTAGTCTACTGAAAACAATCTAGCAAGTAGGAAATAACCGTCGGAGATGATCGACAGTCGGGTATGCTCGGCTGGTTTCAGAAGAACCCTAAAAATTGCCATATCGTAAAGAAGTTCACCGTCCAGTCCTTTGTGCAACTTCTACGCATATTCTTCACGGCTCTTCCAGCCATCGAACTCAACGGAAGAATAAGCAAGACTTTGTTGAAACAACACTGTAGCTACTAAGTCACCCGCTAAGTGGGACAATAGGTATGCGAAGTTCAGAGTGTGGTCAGCTCTGATTTGCCTTTTTCGTCAAGAGACACCCCACTTGCGGCGTTGTCTTCCCGTTAGATGACATCACGTAAGATAGGAGACCGTATACTTTTTGAGGTGACACCATTAACATGTGTCCGCATCGTCTTCAGGTACCACAGTCCTCAAAACTTCCAGGAAAACTGATCTAGCGAACAGTTATAGACGTGGAAATGTTACCATTTACAGCTTCACTAATCAAGCTTATCAAAATCTAAAGCGGGTCCGCTTGAAAGTCTGTGACAGGCCCCAGTGTGTGTTATTCAAAAGGGGTTTATTCCTGGTACAACAGTTCTTCTTAAAAACAGGACAAATTGCGAAAAATATATTTTTAACTTCTCCTAGTGGGTGTTATGATTCGGCGGGATTTTCCACAGGCTTTCACACCAGTGACACGAAAAGCATTCTACTCGTATGTCTATCATTAGGCATTCCGTGCACCGCGTTTGTAAAATGGTTTGTGATTCGGAACAAAATGATAACATTTCATTCTTAGTGTTTGTTCGTGGGAAGTGTCTGTTGCACGTTACAGAGATCAGTTTGATACAACTCCCTTCGGATTGGATACTGCCTGAAGTTTTTCAGTAGTATTCCCGTTTCCAACAATAGTCACGTAGTCAAGACGTTGTATAACTGACCAGGATGGCTTTCATTTGAGACCGTATTTGACAGAAATACTATTTTCTTTTGTCTCAAAGTCAGTGGGTGTCTGGAGCGTTCTATCCACATTCTTAACAAGGAATAACTCGAAAAGCAGGCAGCAGTAAAGGCAGCAAAGGCAGTCGTCTGCATCACATCACAGTTGTTGGATGGGTATTTAACTAATGATGTACTCCACTCACCCTAGCACAATCACCAAACAGTCTAAGTATGGTTCCAATAGGAATCGGAGAATCGTGTTCACGAAACGAATACCTTGACCTAGTAACCATTCTACTCAAATTTTGTTCACCAGCTCGCCTACAGTTACATATGTGCAGGCAGAACATAATTGTTTCGTGTCAACGGGTGGATGAGTACTTCTCGAAGTCAATAATGCAATATACTGCAGAACTTACTGCTGGGACATAACGCCATCTTCATCGATCGACGGGCACTTAAGTTAGGTAAATTATGTAAATCAAATAAATCATGGATGACAGGGGACGCTGTTATGACCTAGCCATTGGAGTGGAGTTGAATTTGCCTCATTTGAAACCTCCCCCAAACATGGAAGATGTTTAGAGCCTCAATTCATTTATGTTTAAACGTCTGTGAAAGACGATCGGTTCAACTATCAGTTTCGTCCGTTCTGACTGTGCCCAAGACCCTCACCAGCACCGGCGAGCGCAACATCCGAACGACGGATGGCTTGGATGTACGTCAAATTGTAATTCCTTGTGTCCCGCTGCTTACCTTGAAACGATTGGGTGTATGACTGAAAAACGTAGTTTTGTTGCCCCTATCATGTATGAAATCATACGGCCTATCATGTCCAGTCGTTCCAGACAACTGGATATGCAGTCTCGCTAGCTAGTAAACTTGGTGTTAATTCCACTTTCAAAAGCACAAACACAAATCGTAGACATAAATCCTCCACTTGGACAACTAGTACATCTGTAACGAGAGAAAGAAAACAATAACAGCTTCCACGGTCCTGAAGATGTGAGGTGTGACCTGTCCATGCAACACATGCAAACATTTATGCACAAACATCACTTCCCTGTCTCGAAATTCGGACACACCCTGCCTCGAAACAATACGGTCGTCAGTGCTACTTGACGCCCAATGTACGAGTGTTGTTCACGAGTACCTGTCAGCATGCCATTCATGCGAGACGAAGATGGTGATGTTGATGATAATGATGTGACGGCTCGTGCTCTTTCTCCCACTATATTTAGCTGTGTGGTGAAGAAGCGCCCTGAGCCCCTGTTATTTTTATACACTGCCTGTGCTGATTCATCACGGTTCGCCTAGCACACAAGACCCGATTACTCATATACCTGACTAGTGATCTCATGTGCGGCACGTGCGTGCGTGCCTTCGAAAGGGGAAGGTGGGCAGGACAACGAGTGATTGGTTGGTAGTCATGTGGGGTTGCTTCTATCTGCACTCCAAACTTCCAGTTATATACTGTATGCTTGTGTGGTGGTTGTGAACCGGTACCTCTGTAGTTGGACAAACCCCAGTGTGTGGTGATGAATCATCAGCTTCGCTGCGCAGTTTGGAACTAGGGTTCATACCCTCAGCCACAGCGCTCAGGGAGAGCACGAGGCCTTTCTATCCGCTGCGCTACAGTGACATGGGTCGGAAGGAAGGAATCATCTGAAGAAATGGGACATGTTGGTTGGATTTCTTCTAGGAGCACTCTCCGGAAGCTTGCAATCATCGTGAAGATTCTCCTTCGGTAGCTTTCAGTTGATGCCATTGGAATGATCGCAAACATCAATTGCGTTGATTCCTACTTGGCAACTGTGTTTCGCACACCCATGACAGAGGCTGTAAGTGGATTGAAGGAGTTCTGATGTGAGTTCACCCTGGACTCTGTTGAAGTGACATCGCGTGATCTGATGGTCTTATGAGGTATTTCAAGTAGTGAAAGTCGGCCAATCGGAAAAGTACTCTTAAATATCTGCTAAATTTGACAGGCAGCCTTATTCGACGTGTGGCTTGTTAAACGCTATGTCAGACAACAGATGAGCTTCAAAAGATGAGCTGAGCATCATGTGACTGGAGAGGTTACACGATAGCAAGATCGTGTGCATGCTGATCACACTATGTCTACCGACAGTCAACAACGAGAGAAGCGCTTTAACTAGACAAATCCGGTGCCACTATGCAAAGTGACACTACGGAATAAAATTAAGAATGTCAAGGGAAAACAACAAAAGCCAAAATCACATGGGTTTGAAGAGGTTATCAGTTTCAATTCAGATCAATCCATCAGTAATAAACTGTGTAACATAGGCACATTGGTTCCAACTGCCACAGTTTCGATCACCGGGAGGTGGAAGTGTGTGGGATACAGAGCCAAGCCTTGGAGGCGATGGCATGTTTGCGAACTGGTTAGCTACGCATTGAAGGTGATAGCTTTGATACAGGAGCGCCACAGACTGCGTGATTGGACCATTTCTGCCACTCTCAGTTGCCATTGATTAGTTGAGTTCCGGGGTCCCCATTCGGGGAGGTAGCAGTGGCCCAACCGACGAAGTTGATGTTTTCGTACTTCGTTGCCAGGTCATACATTGCTCACCTCTCGATCGCTTTCACTCAGCACAGGGCTGGGCAAAAAGAGCTTTGTGAGGCAGACGGTCTTTTGGCATGATGAGCATACGTCCTAACCAGCGTAACCTATGAAACGTGAGTAATTCATCTATCGTGGGAGTGTTCCTTCTTCCTAAGACCAGGTGGCGTAATTCAGCATTGCTAATACGATGTTCCCACCAGACCTGACCAGAACTTCAGAGACACCGATGGTCAAACATTGACTTCTTCCATGTGTACTCTGCACGTAGGGGCCACGTTTCTAATCCGTAGAGTCGTATGGATCGCACCACCGTGGTGCAAACTGTCCTTAACAGACAAAGTCACGTCAGGTCGGTGCCATAGTAGTCGGAGGTTGAGAAAAGCTTCCATGGCCTTTCCTATTCAAGAAGTAATCGCATCTCCAGCCACTCCACAGGAACTTATACAAATGCCCAGCCAAATAAATTTATGCACCACGTCGATTGGCTCAGCTGCAAGCATTAGGTGTGGATTTGATTCCACCCAGTTTTGTAGCAGCACTTTACACTTCGCAGGTAAGCCTATGCCAAACAGTGGGGCAGAGTTATTTAGGTTATTTAAAATCGTTTGCATTTGGGAAGGTTCTGAACCAAGGAATGCAATATCGTCCGCATACTCAACGTCTGTGAGTGGACGTCCCAGGAGTATTTCGACTCCCGAGGATTCAGAGGTAGGCAGACAAATTTCAAGCAGCATATTAATAGAAAAGTTGAAGAGTGAAGGTGAAAGAGAACAGCCTTGTCTTACAACACCGGACGCTGTGAACCCAGGTAAGAGCTTCCCGAATACTCGTACGCGTTCACAGGAGTTCGCACACAGTGTCCTTATAAGGGATATAAATTTGATTGCTAGACACTGCCAAAGTTTCTGATGATCAACAAGATCAAAAGCAGATTTCAAATCAAGAAGAACGACCAACATGGGACGTCTGAAGGAGTGGCGCTATTCGAAAAGTTGTCTCAAGGCGAATGCATTATCGAGAAATCCTTGACTAGGACGAAACCCAGCTTGATTCTCACGAATCTGTCTCACCAGATAATCCATCATCCTGCGCAAAATAATGCCAGAGAGCACCTTAGATGCGATGCATACCAGGCTGATACCACGATGGTTTTCACGACTTTCTTGTGCTCTTTTTGCAGGCTGGGATGACGGTCGATGAGTTCCATTCGGCTGGTATTTTGTTTTCGTTCCAAATCTTCTGCAATGTGGTCGTCAGACTGTTCACCAGGACTTCGAGAGAGTAAAGTGTAGGCCATCCAGAACAGATGCCTTGTCACACTTCAGGATTTATGCCTCACGCTGGATTTCGGTTGCTGATGGCGGGTTAATATCAGTAGTTTATTCAGACCCGCTTGGTTCCTTCAGTGGTTGTGTCGAAGGTGACCAGCTGAACTGTTCTTTGAAATGCTCAACCCACCGCTCAAGACAGCGAATGAGGGATGAATTGATGTTCCGTCCTTTTCGCATATTGATTCCCTGACATCTGCCTTCTTTTGACTGGTTGATCGAATCAGTTTAAAGAGGGGGCGGCCTACAGCGAAAGCCTTCTCCATCATCCAACCTTTCGAAATCCACTAGCGTTCCCCGTCATTCTTTGAGCTCCTGATTATCCGGTGTTTGAGGGACCTAAATGCGCCATCATAGACGCTAGTTACTGGTATGACCTTTCTGGCAGCAACAGAATCTGCTGATCACAACCATATTCAAGTGTTCATTTAGTCGCGCCAAATGGCTCGGACAAACAATTCTGAAAGCTGAGAGCATCGCTTCTTTGACTCGCGTCCGTCCAACCTCCAAGAAATCTTCGTCACCTGCATGACTATACGTTTTCAGCAGCTCGATACTCTTCAAATACTGAAACTTGTCGAAGTTGACGAACGGAAATGCCCTCCTTTGGCAAGCGTAATCCTGGTGGAAAGCGAAGTGCTAACCGAGCCTGCACGATGGCGTGATTAGAGTCCAGTTGGATACCCCAGAAGGAACGATACTCATCAACTGATGCTGCCCATCGGTAACTAATAGCCACATGGTCCAAATGAGCCCACGGCTGTCTTGTGGTAGGTGGCCCTCAAATAACTTGATGCGAGCGTTTATGTTGGAAGTTCGTACTGGCTAGGAACAGGCGATGATCTGCGCACAACTGAAGAAGTCGCTTTCCATTATCCGTACGTTCAACATCGACTCCCAATTTACCAGTGAAGAGGTTACCAGTTCGTTAGCAAATAACTCGCGGCTGTTGGTCGTATCATTTAAAAAGTTCCATAGTAAATCAAATCTAACGTGCAGAACGGAAGCGTCAGATATTATTTTCAGTGTAAAATCGTGGTTATTGTGCCGGGGAATGTTCGGTCAAACTCAAGGTATGAGCTCTTTCTGGGCAGATGTTATACACCTTAAGTACACTCAACTTCCACCCTGTTTCGGATGCCAACTCACTCAATTATGGTGGTTCAATACCACAATTTGGCTTCCAAGTGAACAGTATAAAATTCGGTCTCACCTATGGGGACTTATCTTGTATATATGAGAAAAACAGCCTTGACGAATGTGTCCAGCTTCCGCCGTCTGGTATACTAGGTAAGATGAAGAAGCGACGATATGACGCGTGTTGATCAGAAAAACAGTCAGGAAAGGGATCGATCTAGAAACGGATATGTTAACCTGTCACCAATGTGGTAGTCGCCCCCGAACAAAGACCACTATCTTAAACTGGTACTGGTTTGTGGTGATGTGTACTGGACGAACTTCTTAGGAGGAATGTAAGCCATGAAGTACACGGACATTCAAAATCCAAGAGCGAAA